GCTGCATGGGGCGGTCCATTGAAACGAAACCAGATGAAACCAGTGCACTGAGTTTCTGCCTTCTTAAGCCTTCTTCCTTTGCTGGAACTTGTGAGGACAGAGAATCAGTCTTTTGCTTAAAAGAGTAAGACTGTCTTTGGATTGATTATATACTACGAAAGATGGACCTTTGCACAACCCATCATTTTCACACATTTCAAGATGGATCTCTTACAGCATCGAGCCACCTCCAGCAGAGAGGTGAAGTCGAGACAAAAGCGCGTGACGCGCTACGCGCGCGTTCCACTGTTCCCACGGACCATGTGCTCGCGTTCGCCGCGTCGAGATGTTCCAACCAAAAAACGGCCAGAGTCTGCAACCCTTCAGACCGAGTCTGCGGCCAAAACGTTCCGAGTCTGCACAGGTGAACTGAACTGTTTACACCGCACTGACTCGGAACGAACTGTGACAGACGAACTGCACAGACCGTGTTTTTCGTCGCACTGTGATGTCGGAGTGATGCACTGGCAGTGAGTCACCCCCCATAGACAGGTGATTATGGCGAAAGCCTCCATCTATGAAGAGACTTCACCCTCCACATGGAGGTTGAGGGATGTTGAGGGGGTTTGATGACTCAAGAGATCTACAGTCTACAGATTTCATGAAAAACTCTTCCAGTCTACCCTCTTGAAAGACCCAATCCCTCGCAAAGGATCAGGCCTTGGGACTCTTCCAGTCTTCAGTTCGTTCTGTGCTTCACGAAGCGTGCTGTTTTCTATGCCGAGTTCAGCAGAGCGAAGGCGTCGGCACAGGGTTCCCGAGCAGAGCGAACTCAGCGTCGGCGCAGGTGCACCAGATTCCCAACAGCTACATCTTTGACTTGATTCGAAGCCGCAGGGCGTGCGATCGACGTTGACCAGTCTGACCGGGCGCGCTTGCGCAGGCCATATATACAGACATCACCTGAATATTCAGTGTCCAGGGGAAGAAGACCAGAGACACAGACGACAAAGGGCCGGGGTCTCAAAACTCAACATGGTCCCGATAATTATTTCCAACTCACGGTGTTAGTATCATAACTTGTATGTGACCAGCACAAAGGCATTCAAATTCCGGCTGTAAATGGGACATCCTTCTTTTTGGGTCGCAGTTTTTACCTGCTGCTCCGACATGTGCCTTCTGTCTGAAAGGGTTGCTGTTTGGATGAAAACAAGCATGTCAAAGCCACAAAGTGGTTAAACAGCGCTCTGTTTCCACTGGGATCACTCACTTCCTCAGGCCTTTAGGCTTTCCAAAAGCAACTCGTGTCCCAACCTCGAGAGTTCTTTCTCTCGGGCCTCCAGTTGGGTCACATTGGCACGGCCCGAAGCTACCGAAGGATACCGCAGGATACCGAAGGGCTCACTCTTCCATTCGTGGCCAGTTCGTTCTTTTGCACACCATGGAAGTTCCGTGCCCGTGCGGCTGTCATACCTCGTCCTCCGTGCGTCGGAACGTGGCAAAGGAATGGCACGACGTTGCTGTCCTTGATCTTGAGCGACCTGCTCGGCCGTGGCATTGGCCCAGTGGCGGCCCGCCATAGCATCGCCTCAGGCGAGGGCAGCCTTATTCGTGGGGCACCATGGGAAGGGGCAGGTTTGGCAGGCCAATGCACGGAACTTCTTGCATTTGTTTTTTCCCTGGTTTAGGAGGGGCTTCAGGTTTCAAGTGATCTTCGGGGCTTCAAGTTTCGCAACCTCCTTCTTGGTGTGAAGGAGCACCTTCGGACTGACGTGGGGTCATAAGATGTCATAAGGCAATGATGGACCTTGAGAAGTGATTGGAGCATGATGGAGCTAGATGCAACGAACAGGTCGACATTGACATTGAAACAGTGACTAACAGTGACTAACAGTGACAGTTTACCACCCAGTTCTTGCCATGGCAACTGCGATCTTGATACACTGCAATCTTTATTTCTCATGCCGCCCTGCGCAGCGCAGCGCCGATTTTCCAGGTGGGCAACACGGATTTGGTGAGCAACAATTGCTGGTGAGTGCCGTGTGCATCGTCCTTTATGCCCCTGGGCATGAAAAACGGAAGGAGTCATGGGTGTTTTGTGAGACATGTTTTGCGAATGAGTGTGCTGTTTTGCATGTGATGAGTCATCGGCACGACGCTTTTCGGGAAGATGCATCTAGAGAAAGGGGGTGAGGCGCCGGTATTTGCACTTGGATGCGGATGAACATGGGGAGCATCGGAAGATCAATTGAATTATATAGATCGTTCTCGTGCACCCGGATGGGCCACACCTTTTTTCATTCTTTTTTCCACAGAGTCCAAAGGTGCTACCAAAGCTGCCCGAGTGCTGAACCGTTCAATAAGCATCTCTCAGATGTTTTGGATCATATGTATCCCCAATGTGCTGGGCAACCTGTGTCATTTACCAGCTCTAGAAAGCATTTGACACCCAATTAGCTCAGTGAATCAGAGGACTCCTGTAAAAGTTTGTTCACCACTGAGTCAAGTGACTCGACGTCAATGCTTTGATGTCCACTTTTTCAATGCCTTGATGACATCTTCACAATACCCATGTCATTTCGCTGGCTTCGCGATGGAAACCAGAAACGAATTCACAGGCTGCCCATGTCATTTCAGAGCGAATTCTCAGGAGGCGGTTCATGTCTTGACCCTTGCTGCTCGGTGTCAGATTGGTTTGCTGTCGGGGATGTCCGAAGAAGAAAGATTGCTTTACCAGGCAGTTAAACATGATCAGCTCGGTAAGGAAGCCTCCAAGTCTTCTGGAAGAGGTACGTTCTAGAGAAGCGTTAGGACTTTTCTTTACGTATTGCTATTCCTCTAGATGTTTTAGACAGATTGGAACATGTCAACTGATATGTTTGTTTCCTTGCGGGATTTTTCCACATGTGCTGCCAGTCACCTGCGCTATCCTGCAACCGCAGGAAGAGGTGCCAAGCAGGAATCAAGATTTCTTTGGGTGAATGTTTGTTCCAGGTGTCGCTTTGGGAAAGGAACATCCGGGCGGCCCATCTCATGAGCTTCGGGCTTCTTCTTGGAGCAAGTACTATGGCTAGGGCTAGGGATAGAGAAGAATTCGACCTGCGAAAACAGTGCACGAACCAATCCAATGCTTTGGGGCAGGGGTATGCTTGGGTTACACCACTGAGGACACCGCGAGGGAAGCTTTCTATTGGCATGTTTGCATGGGAAGCTCTGGCTGTCTCATGGTACGGCTTCTCTTTCATGGCACGACCACGAACCGACGAAGCTGCCCAGGAAAAGCAGGGAGACACCAAACGCAGCGAGGAGGCGGTTCGTGGGTGTTGGGTCTGGTCCAATGGGTGTTCCGTTTCTCCCAGCGGTTGGTGCGGTTGGTGCGGTTGGGGCCTCTGTCTCGGTATGTGGCTTTGGAAGTTGGTGGTTTCGAGCAAGCTTGAACTCAATCTCAGTTTCAAACCATCACCTCAACTCATGGGCCTGGGTCAAGGCTAGACGCCCACAATGAAGTTGAATGATCATTTTCGAAGTTCTTTTTTTTCTGGGGGATTCGAATGCCCTGCCAATTTGGTATCGAGAGGGGCATCAACCCCAGCACAAGAAGGGGTTCCGCGGAAATCTAAGTAGTATATATATTGTATCATACTTGTATTATATATGATACTATAATATAGTTTGATGCTTGTGCCAAATGATTCACCCCAGTGCACGTGCTGCAATCAAATGTTGGTAGGTGGCTCAATGGGAAAGATCTCAGAGCTTCATAAACAGTCTTTTCCTCAAAGGTGCCCGCATTTCCCAGACTGCTAAGGCACCTTCATTCACCTAACCACTTGCTTCATACAAGTCACCTTCGGAGAGTTATTCCGGACCAACAACCCCAACTGAAGGTGCTAGAGTGCCTAGCTTTCCTTGTCTCTCATCAGGGCTTTGCAGCTTCCTCACTGCTTCAGTGAGGAAAAGCACTTGTCAAGACATCACGATTTCAGTAAGCTGGCAGGCTGGCAGGCTGTTCCCAGGCCGTTTTGATCAGTTTTGTGTATTTGTTCCAGTTCACAGGGATGAGACATCTATTCTATTTCAGGGAAGCCTGAATGGACATGCTCGGGGCAACCAGTGACTGTTCCTTGCCAGGCGATATCATGACTTCCGAGCAGAGCAGCAGTGAGATGCGGTGCTTGATTTTCGCCTGAGAGCTAAGGTGATGTACAAACACCGAGCGGAAGACATCATGAGTCATGGCCATGATTTCGGGTCCGGGGACTGACCTGGGGTATGATCAAGCAACTAAATCTTGATCATTCATGAGTTGTCCAACAGCCCATCAGTCTCCATGGTTTGGACCCTCATTTCGAGTGCTGCCAGACCCGGCCTCAGTCAGTGGGCTTCGCGAGGCCGCGGGAGGACACCGATGGCGCTGTGGTCCTTCGGTGTGTCTCGACCACGGGCATCAGTAGGAGAACCGGCCCAACCGGACCTGCGGCGAAGGCCCGGACCCAGCGGCCAACGGGGGCCGGACCCAGGCCGAGCAGCCGCCATGTTTCAGGACGCGCGCAGGGAGACACTCCTGATGCGGAGACACTCGTGGCGGCCACATCGTGGACAGGGGTGTTGCAGATGGACTTCCGATCCAGCTGAACCATTTGTTTGGGACATTGAAAGTCACTGAAGCCTACTGCTCCCAAAAGCAGACTTTGAGTGGCTTCTGGGAAACTGTTTGGGAAGATTTTGGAACCGAAGAGGTTCTTAAGTGCTTGCCAATCCTTGTATATCCCGACGCCTGGAGGGTGGCCCCTTGATCCAAGTGCAGTCCTTCAAGGTGGATGATCCAAGTCTCAGGAGGCTTCCTGAGTCTTCAAGCACCTGCTCCTCCATTTCCTTTCAACCAACTCTCCCCCAAAGACTACTACTTACATCTACTTACTACCTTCCCCCCCCAAAAAAAGGACCTAGTCACACCAGCATTCCCAACTGAGAGTCTCGTGTCCATTGGACCTGTCCGGAGGGTCGGCCGGGTCACCCAGGTCCTGTTGACCCGCTTCGGCGTTCAGATGTGCTTGCAACAGGCACTGGCGGGGAAGCCGGGGAAGCCGGGGAACGAAGCTCCCGGAGGTGCCACAAACAGGACGAAGACGAAGAGACCCTTCTTAAACCCTTACTTCGAACATTCTCTAGAAGTGAATCGGAAAATCCGGAGTGATGAATCACTAATCGCAGATTGATCATGCATGGATCATTATTAATCCCAACAACAGGGAACTCTATACTCTATACAAGCCTGGAAGAATTGGTGTTTAATCATGTTTAATCGATTTTCTATATACTGTAAATACATCATTCTTGGACACGGTCTCAAAGTTGTTGCAGAATCTCCCAGGGGAGATCGTGGTTTTGTTTGCTTTCCAGCCGAAGCCGATTTGTTTCTTCATGTGAGAGATTTGATGGCTCCAAACCGCAGAGTCAGGTGTGAGGCAAGGGGTTGCTTAGCAGTGGGAAAAAAGGACACGAAAGCCAACAAGCAAGGGGTTGCTTTGTTGGGTTAAGGTGAAGGTGGTCACGAATCACCACGTGCTATTTTGCATGAAAAACAGATCCCACCATTGCATAGTGCGCTTTGTTTCAAGGTCATGGACACCACCTTTTCTTCCGTCTTCTCCGCCGTTGGTTTCTCGCCTCGATCGGGCGAGGCGGCACAGTTCACCGTCTCAGCCGCCTTCGCCTCCCGCGTGGCAGTGCCCTCCTTGGCCTTCACCTTGCACCTCGGCGGTTCGCCTTTGTTCGCCTGGAAGCTGAATGACCTCAATTTTGGACCACGAACCACCCAAAATATGGCCTGTTCCTATCAAAGCAGGGGTCAATTGGGTTCCAGGCATGCATAGACTCTTTTCGAGGGTCCACGGTCCACCGACATCGCCGCCTTTTCGTGGGACGTGCATGGGCCGTGGGGTCCAGGTCACCTGGTCCGCTCAAGAGCTCCGCAAAATATATCGACATATGGTTTGTATTTTTTTAAGGTTCCCGGGCCGGGATGTTTGACTATGGGGTATGCTTCGGAGGTATGCTTCGGGGGTATGCTTCGGGGTATGCTTCGCGCAGTGTGAAGACTAAAGTAGTAGCATTTTCAGAGGGTATGCTTCGGGGTATGCTTTTCCTAAGTCGAACATCCCAGCCCTACATAAACTGGACACCTCAAAAAAAGAAAAAACACATAACCTATGGAGCGTTATGTACATGTGGAGCGTATATTCTGTACCCAAAGGTAGGTCATTTGCACCAATGGAGTGACTGGGCTGGGTGGAAGGGAAGAGACATGTATCGTGCACCGCTCACCACTTCGTCACAGGTTCGCCACTCGCAGTCACAGCCTCAGGTGTTTGCCCTCGCAATTCCAGGAAGCCATTCATACTGTCAAAGCGGTGCGCCAGTTCGCGTGCGGTATCCGCGCGCGTGGGAGAGGCACCTCTGTGTGAGGCCAACCTGAAAGGCATGAGGCCAAGTGGAAAAGCATTGAACATTGAAACCCTTGCTGTTGATACCTGAAATATCCTGAAATTGAAATACATTGGGTGTGCCTTATGTAACTAGTGCCCTTGCTTGCAATATGTCAGTAGCACGTTGAATGTATTGAATGTATACTGGCCAAAGTATATGCCTATTCAGTCCGGCATTTTTGCAGGGTCCGGCGCCGGACTTCCAACCCCAGCGTTTTTCTGGATTTGGTCCGGCAGTTTTTCCAAGTCACTTTATGTGGATTCTCAAGGCTTTGCATTCTTTGTGGTCCGCATTTCTTTGAAGGTAATATCCACTACTGACGAACAAATATGCTTGAAATTGTGTTCTTTTGCATGTTCCGCTGTTTTCTCATTCCACCGGTTTCAGCAATGGTTCACACTGGCTCAATCAGATCCCTTTAGGTGATCTTCTCAATGAATTCGCTTTGCACGCGTACCTAAGCTGAAAGAACATAGGCAGTAATGTATTCCCATTGTTTCAGGATGTCGGGGCGCTGGGAAATAGTTCTAGCAGCTACGCAGGTTTGCAGAGCCTGCCGGACAAGTTTTGGGTTGTGGAACGCGTGTTGTTCAGAATCTCAATGTTTCGAAGAGGGTTGCCAAAAAAGGGGAGCGTCGTAACTCCGGCATAATTTCCCGTAACTCCGGCGTCAATTCCCGTAAATCCGGCGTAATTTCCCGTGCTCCGGCGTAATTTTACGGACTCAGTCTTGTGCAGGTTTTGAGTGTTGAAGGCTTTGACTGGAAGCATGAGTTCTGCTACGTTGATTAAGGGGTCGAGGTCCTGAGGCAAACTGAAAAATCCTGGAGAGGAACCCACTTTGTAAAAGAGCTTTAGAGACACGGTTGCGGAGAGAGGGGGGGCCCTTGACACATACTCCTTGGCTTGTTTTTGATGTCTTTTCTTGGGCACAAGTTTGCTTATATTTTGTGAAGGTTCTGCTCTTAGGCATGTCGGAAGATGGGCGAGGGCAATGGTAACGGGAAGGCTCCAGTGATTGGGTTGTGGAATGAGTGTGTTCCAGAAAACTATATACTCGTGGCGCAAAGGCAATTTGCTGGTGTATGATCCAACCTTTCATCATCTGTGTTTTTCAATTCAAAATCTTGGATCCGGATGTTTTTTTCAGGTTCTCGGCGTTTGTTTTTGGGAATTTGGCGGAAAGGATTGAGGTCCGGCATTCTTTTTGGCCAGGAGGATCCAGGTATAGCCTCATACTGATCAGTCCCTGTTTTTGGTGTACTCCAAGGAAGCACCTCTCACACCTCAAAAGATGAACCTGTTTTGCTGGACACACTCACCCGTTGGAGGCTTCCACCACACCCCGAAGCCGCTGCGCCCCGCCTCGTGCGAGAGCTGCTTGGACTCCCTGGGCTTCCCAAGGGACCGTCGGTCCGGTTGGACGGTGACCATTGCACTCCCATGGCTTTCGAAGATTGTTTGCGATGGTCTTCAAGTGGACTCCCTGTAGCCTGGACACGCCCAGACGCAATGGTCCTCGTGTTAGCCTCAACTCCTGCAGTAGTTCGCCCAAAACTGTGTGTGTGTGCCCCACCCTGTACCAAAGGGTCCCACTCGATTCCGATTTTATTTAAGCAGGGGCGTGTGACACTCTTATCCTCTCACACGCAATGAAGCTGTGGATAAGAGTGGGAAGGGTAACTTGGCCGGTTTCCTGTACCTTCATGTAGCGTCCCTGGATGACTAACCCATTAAGTTGGGGTCATAGCTGGGAGCTACCGTGACTTTTCTGCATGCCATTAACTAGTTTCCGGAATCCTTTGTTGAAACACCTACAAGTCGCTGACCTACCACCTTTCCGTTCTGCACTAAGTAACCAGTCAAGTGCATTGCATTCGTGGATTATCACTCGCAATGAATTCTATCGAAGTGCGTAACTAACCCTTGGATTCATAGGGGATACCTATCAAAAAAAACTGATTCCTATCAATAATACAATTGTTTCCTATCAAAAGACAGTAATTCGTATCAAAAATAGAATTACCTCTACTCCTTTGGTCCTGGCCTGCTGGTTCCCTGATCGCTTGGTCCTTTGCTCCCTTTGTCCTGGTCCCCTGGTCCCTTGGTCCTCTGGTCCCTTGGTCCTCTGGTCCCTTGATCCTCTGGTCCCTTGGTTCCCTGGTCCCTTGGTCCTTTGGTCCTCTGGTCCCTTGCTCCTCTGGTCCCTTGGTGCTCTGGTTCGTTGGTCCTCTGGTCCCTTGATCCTCTGGTCCCTTGGTCCTCTGGTCCCTTGGTCCTCTCATCCTCTGGTCCTTCGTCCTGGTCTTCGGGTACTTGGGTCTGCGCTTTCGAGGCAAGACGCGTTCAAGGTGATTTGGAAATCTGGTCATACATCCTGTGAAGCACTGTAGCAGGCCTTTTATCACCAGACGTAGCAGACCTTTTTTGTGAGCCACCCTGACGGTATAATTTGAACGAAGAAGGTGCCACTCCAAGGTAGCAAACCTTTTGTCAGCCACTGGAGGGCAAAATTTAGAAGAAGAAGGAACCATTCCAACGTAGCAAGCCTTTGTTTTGTGAGCAACCGCGCCTGCCACGCAATCTGCACTTCGAGGTTCAAGTGCTGCGCCTGCAATGAAATCTGCAGTTCCAGTGCACAAAGTGCTGCGCCTGCCACGAGCCCTGCAACCGAAGGTGCTCAAAGTGCTGCGCCTGCCACGAAATCTGCGCATCCAGATTCACATCGCGCAGCGCTGCCAAGGTGGCAGGCGCAGCTCTTTGTGAAAAGATATTTTGTTTTTGATACTAATTAATTTTCTTCTTGATAGGATATAGAAAATTTTTTGATATATATTTGTTTTCTTTTTGATAGCCCGACCGATTCATAGCTAGCCAATTGGTTTTTATTTTGAGTGCAGGGGACAGTAGCCCTCTCATGAGGCTACTGCCAACGAAGCTACTCATGAGCTTGGGAGGATATCAGGGTTGATCACCCTGACGTACCTGCGTTGTGACTTTCACTACCTACTCGGCCCCTGCTGGTACAGTAATTATAACAAGACTTCGTCCACGGCTCTGGTTCTGCAGTAAAAGGCTCATGAGTTCTGCAGACTTGAACGAACTAAACACTTTCTGTGAACTTTTGATTTTGATCACTTGCACTTGTTCCACCTGTTCATGTAGGCCATTTGGATTACTGAAGCTGCTTCATTGCAAGTGGCATTCAGACCGTACATGCTTTAATCCTGGGTGTGTTTTTGTTCTTTCATTGATGTTCAATGTACGGGAAGAGTACTTAATGTAAGTGTTTCCGCAACATCTCATGCCGAGGATGATTTTTTCATGTTTATCAATCTTGTGTTTGAACATGAACTGTCTGACTTGGAGTCACGTTGATCACACTGACAACTCTTCGGGTGAGTGTGTACCAAGCAGTGAAAAACAACATCATATTCCCAATATGGTTTTTGCAAAAATGCATCAAAAAGTTTGGAAAAACAACTCCAACCGCTCCAACTCGCCAGGTGATGCTCTTCTCCAACTGCTGCGCCAGCGCGCTGGGCGAACTGTTGCGGGACTGCGCCAGCGATTTCCGGGCTCGTGGGTGGTCCCGATGCCACAAAGTGCAGACCAGCATCTCTTCCGATTACCCTCCGTTCACCCCAGTGAACTACTTCGTTTGTGGATTGTGGAAAAGATTGAAACATTTGGCACTGAGCCAGGGTGGATTAAATGTTGGTTCGTCATTTTGTATGCCTGTTAACTTGAGGTGACTTTTGCTTTTGGACACCTTTGAATTCGCCTTTCACAAATTGAATTGTGAAAGTGGACGGCCCGTTGAAAAACGCCTGTCATCTTCCGGCCACATTGCCCCTTCGGGCCCTTTGGTTCAAACTGTGAGAACTGGCATGGGACCCATCGGTCCTGTTGGAATCCCATGTTGGATCTGTTTCAAGAGATCAAAGGGTTAAACCCACAACCTCACTCTGGGTACGGGGGCACTGTATGGATTTCGGGCGACGTCGCCGTTTGGTGTCTGTATAAGAGATTAATAAGAGGTCAGACATTTGACACAAGTACTGACAAAGCAAACGTGCAATATGTGTTTTTTGGTTTCAATGTATTTCATCATCTTTCTGCCCGCCCAGTTTTCACCCCTACTTGCACCATTCCCTGCTTCTTGCTGCATGCAACTGGTCAGCTTGTTCTTGTCATCAGTGAAATCATTGGCACATTGCGCACACAAGCAGTTCAACATTCAAGGTCAAATGCAGAATTAATATGCACACATGCAGATTGAAGCACACGAATAGGTCGCCGGCGGCGTTCTGACGGGCCGGTCGCTGGAGCCCGTGGAAGCCGCGTCGAGGACGGGGACTGGGTGCCGCTGAAGGTCTTGTTCGACTTGTCCGCCCTGGGCCAGGCACGGACTGGGCCGCAAGGGCTCGGATGCACGCGGTTTCGAACTGCAGATGCGAGAAGGGCGTTTGGACATGAGAGCATATTTCCAAGATTTAGGAGCTGGATGCTGTAGATTTGCTGTTTTGCTTTCCTATGATTTGGCTGCGGGTCAAAGCCAGGAGAGCCTGGTTGACCACCAAAAATGAACAAAATGGACTACCTAGCTTTCTGGGTTCAAGTACCCTTGAGCTTACGCCTCACGGGGGCCGGGGCCTGTTCGACTGCCTCGCGGCGGTGGGCAGGTGTCCACAGAGTGGACTTCTCCTGTCCACACCTTTTCCACTTAGGCAGATAGGTTCTTTGCACCCCTTTGGATAGAGCCATGGACTTAGATCTGCTGTTGTGTGATTTGGAGGATCCCTGGAAGTCGCGTGCCAGGGCTCTGCTCCATGGTGTGGAAGACGGCCCGGCATTGCGCTGGGAACACTACACGATCCTTGCTGGCACGTATCGGGCCCAGGCACACGACATCTTCGATGTTACCCTCATGCACTTTGTTGCTGGCTGGGGCTTTTCTGGGGAGACGATGAGTGAAGCCAAGATCTGCATCCACGATGCGCACAAGCGGTCTTTGAACTTGATTGCAGGCGACCCCTTTGTCTGTGCAGGCCTTTTCATGACTCGGAATGACGGACTTTGGACTGGGGACCACCGTGCCATCTTCCTGAAGAAGACCTTGCCAGTGCCTGACGAAGCGATTGAATGTTTGCATATCTTTTCAGGTGCATTTTCCGGCTGGGGGCAAGCCCTTAGCTCACTGCCGCGTTTCTGCTCCAACCTTCGACTGGGTACGCAAACGTTTGTTGATGTGGATGTTGAAGTCACTTGAAGTCACCAATGCACTTGCACACAAGCATGGATGCAATGTCACGCCTGCACCAGTTCAGGCTAGTGCTGTATTTGAAGTGTCCCTTCACAAAGTTGTGAGGGCTGAAGTTGCTGACCCTTGCCTACTGCACGTTGTGCAGCCGTTGGCCAACTTCATTTTTACAGCATCGCCCCCTTGCATTTCATGGAGCCGAGGAGGCCTTGGAAGAGGCCTGAACTGTTTGGAAGGGTGGACGTTTCTTGACTGTTTAAAGCAGTGTGCTTTCGGCCAACCCATCATTTTGAACCTGGAGTGCGTGGACGAGCTTGCGCGTCATGCTCATTTCCCAATCATTCGGCACCTGTTGCATACCATTGGCTACCGCACACTTTGGGAGGGCACTCTCCCATACAGTACTTTTGCACATATGCAACGCACTCGATGGCTTGCCGTGTATGTCAAGTCTGACCTGTTCTCGTGTGTTGAGAGCCAGCCTGATCCGTTTCGTGCATTTAGGTATGAGCAATGGACTTCGGATGTCTTTCAATTTCAGTTGCCTCGCAGTCTCCGTGAGAAGATTGCCCTTTCGCAGCCTGTCCAAGAGCTGTATGGACTTCATTCGCTTTTGCCCCCTGCAAAGCGTTTCAAATTTGCACCTGACACGCCTGTGGAGACCATCATTCGTTCGAGGTTTTTGCAACCGCATGAACCTGTCCCTACTGTCTGTGCATCATATGGCTTTCAGCATGAACTAGCGAGGTCATGTCTTGAGCAGAAGGGCATCTTTGCTACACTTCGTGAAGGAGACTTTGGACCTGAATTCTTGGATCCTGCTTTGCTGGCTGGTCTTCTTGGTCTGCTTGAGACCACCGTCTTCTCTTCCAAGCTTGATGTGCTCTACGGCAAATTGGGAATGCAATTGCTACACCGCATGCACTCTTTGTCCTCCTCCAGGGCTTCAAGTATCTCTTCCACTGGCCCTCTGATGTCGTACAGATCATCAATGACGTGTGGAATGCTCGACTCACTGGCCCCAGGACAATCATCATCGAAGAGGGCAACTTCTACATATTTGCCGACACCCCGACCATCATTGAGGGCATCTGTGTTCGGAGTGAGGTCACACTGCATCCAGGGTGTCTCAACATTTGCTGCATTCACAAAGGAGGACGAGCTGTTGATCTCGTTGCCTGCCGGGATTGGTCCGTCAATGACCTTTTGGGTTGCTTCACCTGGGATTTCAATATTGCGGGCCATATCTATCTTGCTGCGATTGGTGAGAACATCCCTCCCCGAGTTCGACTTTGGCAGCTCTTCGACCAGTACCCACACTGGACTGTCCTCATCCAAGGCTACCCAGTTGCGACTCTCCAGCTTGGTTCGAAAGCCACTGCACTGTGCCCACTGACGCAACCGTGGCCAGCCTCTGATTCGCCACATCTGAATGTCCAGCAGACAACTGACCGGACACCAACTCAGCTATGCCTTGTCGAGGACCATGTGCTCTTTGAGGATCGGCATTTCCATTTCGCTGTGGAGTTCATTGAAAAGCATTGCTTGGCCACTCCTTGTCATACCTCTCCAGACCTGACCATTGCCTTTGGATCACTTCCGTGTACTATCACCTTGACCGGTCTCTCACTTGAAGCTGATCGACTTCGCTGTGTCCAAGATTTTTGGTCGTTTGCTGATGAGGATTCCAATCAGCTTGCCTTCAAGCTCATTGACCATGGCCACCTTGTCTCTGCTGCACCGTGTGCTGTTATCTTCAACAAGTACATGGAGGAGAGGCTCATCTTTGTCATGTTTGAGAACGGTGGGGCGCTGTGTGGATTCTTTCTGGCTCCCAGTCTTGAAAATAGCTCCTTCAAGATTGACTCCAAGCTCTACATGATCGCTGCACTCAATGGACAGGAAGTCTCCAATTATCCTGTTCAGCTTGACCATGGTGACTTGCTGCACCTCCGAATTTCTTCCGATGTCTCTTGTGGAGGGCATCATGGGGCTCGAACCGACACTCTGCCAGCTGGAGCCAACCTTGTCCAACGTGCAGAATTTGCGAGCAACACGGGTGGCTGGCTTGCTACTGATGAGATGGACTTTGCACTACGCCAATTCGCCTGGCTTGCCCCGGACTTTGCGGTCATCCATCCTATTGTCCGCTGGAATCTCGAAACTGCGAACTTGGAAGAGAATGACTACCAGGAGATCATGATTGCAAACAACCGGCTCAATGTTTTGCCCATCCTTTCGGGTTCTCACTGGCTGGCCTTTGAGATTCAGCGGGATGGGGTCTCCACACACGTCACTTTTGTGGGCCTTCCGGGACCTTTGCTTCGCTCTGGATTACAAGTTGTGGCAAGACTGTTGGACATCTCCCCTGACCGATTGCAGTATAGCCATGTCCCTCTTGATGACTCAACTCACTTTTGCGGCTGGGCATTACTGCGCAGGTGGGCTAATGCAGCTGGTATCTTTGAACAGATCCCTCACAATGCAGAGCTCTATGGCTCCACCTCAATCGCTACCCGTGCTTTGATTGATGATGTCGTTGAGGATGCTATTGAGGATTGGCATCAACATGGTATTGCACATGGTCTTTGGTACTTTGCTGCAAGCATTCGAAGGGCCTTTTTCAGCTTCCTTGCCACTACCACTATTCGAGGCAATGCTGTCACGTCTGATGCCCTCCATGTTGTGTTTGATGATGCTGGCCATGGTCCTGATCGGGCAGAGAAACCCTTCATTCACATTGACAGCCCTGACAGCCACCTTCATCATCGCATCCAACATTTCAACCACTACCCTGGGTGGCTTGGGTCTGATGAGCTTGACTTCATCCTCCAGACAATCCGCTTTGTCCGACCGCAGTGCTGCTTCATGCCACCTGGTAATTGGGATTTTGCCACTGGCCACATTGTCTACTTTAATGATGTGCACAGAGACTTCCGTGCCTACCAACATGTGACCTGGTTTGTCCTCATTGACCAGTGCTGGACACAGATTGATGCAGACAGGAACGATGAATCCATTGTCCTCTTTATGAGCCTCCCAGATGCCCATGCTCATTTGGCTGGGCCGCTGGCTACTTACATCATGTCCCAGATTGACGAAGCTCAGCTGACTTGCCAAGTGCACATCATCAGATGCAATCCTGAACCCAATATGTGTGGTTGGGTCCTACTTCACTCCCTTTGCGAGAGACTTCGGGTTGCCATTCCTCCGCTTGCAAGTGAGACCCAACAGGCCATCAACCTCTCCAGGTTCAGAGTCCATATTCGGAGCACAATTGAGAGAGCCAGAATTGTGTGGCAACTGTCCTCATCGTTTCCAAGAATCTCCAACTTTGCTGCTCTGGTGCGGACGAACTTTCTTCACCACCTCCTTGCTGACAGAGGAGTGCCACAATATGCAGCTGGTGGAGGGACAGAACACAAAGACACCACCACCAAGCCAGAAACAGGTACAGCGAAAGTTGACCAGCTGCAGATTGACGATCCTTGGGCCCCAAAGAATGGCAAGCAGAAGAACCCCAAAAAGCTCTTCCAGACGAGATGGGAAGACCTCACGATGCCGGCCGACCATCCGCTCATTGATGAGAAAGGCATCCCAGTCCCACAAGTTCACCGTCTTCAGGCTGGTGCAAAGAAGGCTGGAGCTGTTCTTGCTACCAAATCCGGTATTGCTGAGCTTGCTCGCATCACGCCGTGTGCCACCATGGTTGCCATCCTTCCTGGGAATGACAAGAACCAATACATTGATCTTGGCCTCAAAGTTACTGGACCTTATGAGCTCGTCCTGGAAGATGTGCAGGCCAAGACTGCTTACAAACGCCTCGTCATTCTTTGGCAGCTCCATGGCTCCGTCACCTACAAGCTCCCTGACCCAAAAGTGCAACTGACTGCTGCAGAAGTCGCTGAGCTTGTTATGGATGCGGATTCACGTCTCCTTGGGCCGCAGATCACTGAGCAGGCGAGTCAGCAGCATATCTCCTTCCTGAAGCACCATTTTGGAGTGCTGCACCCTGATTTGACTGACAAAGTCAACATGTATGCCTTTCGGGTTGGGAGGCACCCCTCAGCTGGCAAAGATGACAAGAATTTTCAGTGTATCATCAAAGTTCCCGTCACATATCGCCAGACCATCCTCAAGTC